CGGGTCTGGAGAAGACCTAGCAGAGGGCAGGCAGGGCCTGGGGGGGCGGGGTTTTTTGGGGGTGGGGGGGTGGGCAGGGGTGAGACTGAGGGTTAAGGGGGGAGAAACGCCCCAATGCAAGCCTGGGGCCCCTTTGGCCTGTGAGACAGAGAGGGATGGGGGGTGGGGGGCAAATGAAACACGCAGGAGAACGAACCAAGGCTTCAGCCCCCCTGCTCTTACTGCCCCCCACCCAAAGAACCCAGGCATCTGGGCCCCATGTCCCTCACTGTGACGCACTGCCCTCCCAGGGAATCCAGGTGTCTGGGCTCCCAGCTCTACCTCTCCTACACACTTCTCTCCCCAGAGAAGCCAGGTGTCTGGGCCTGGAGAGAGCAGCTGCAGTTGCCCTAGCTCTCATAGTGGGGAGCTGAAATCCCCAGAATGCCCAGTGTTCAGCTAATTCACAAGCCTTGATTAATTAATCTTGATCTCCTTTCTTCTGTGCCCCACAGGAGGATAGAGAGATGCACCCATCTCAACCCTTCTAGAACTAATGTGCCTCAGTTTCCCTCCCTGCTTCCCAGAATCACAAGGGCACCTCTCATTGCACAGATCTGATTTATTATGTCATGAGGAAAACAGCAAAAAAGGCCCCCCAAAGGCAGGGGGAAAACACACACACACAGACAAGACCCCCCCGCCCCCCATGAGCTCCTGCCAGCCCCTTGTGAGCTCACAACAGCCCCTCCGCCCAGACAGCCTTCCATGAGCTGGGGGCAGGGGGTGGGGGGGGTCCATGGGTCACAACAGCTCCTGTGAGCTCATGACAGTACCACAGCAGCTCCTGTGAACTCACAATGGCCCATGAGCTCATGACTGTGCCTCAGGGTTCATGATGCCCTCCTTTCCCTCCCCCATGAGTTCAGGACACTAGCAATGAGCTCCAACAGTGTCTTGGGTGAGTCATGACAGCCCCTGTGACCTCACAACCATGGCTGGGGGGGGTCACAAGAGCCCCTTGCAAGATCAAGACAGCTCCTATTATTTCACAACAGTGCCTGGGGGGGTAATGACAGGCCCTTGGGAGTTCACAACAGCCGCCCCACCGTGAGCTCACAACTATCCCAAGGATGATTCCCCTTGGTTCTAAAATACCCACCTCCCCCCTAGCCCCATTTCCATGATAAAGATTTAAAAAAGCGCCCATATGGGTTAAAATCCCAGGATTCTCACCCAAAAATATGGGGGGGGGGAAGGCAGGGCGCTGAGAAGCTCCTCACTCATAGAACTGGCCCTTCCCCTGGCCTCAACCCCCCACCCCCCCCACTGAGATACACCCAGCTCTGGGGCAAGGTGGCTGAGTCTGACTTCTCCACCCCAACCTTGCTACCCCAGCTTCCCCAAATCATGGGATGAAGCATGTAGACTTCAGCCACACCCCCTCCTTGTCTGGTGGCTGCATCTCAAGCTAGGGGAGATACTTGTTGGAAGATGCTAGCATCCCCCTATTGTTCGTTGGGGTTGGGGTTGGCATCAGGGTACTTGGTGAGGTCAAAGGTCAGGACCTTGCTGATGACGCAGTCACCTTGCTGGAGCAGAAAGAAAAACATGGGGAGGTTAGGGGGTATGGTCCAGTGTCAGCAAGCCTCCTCCCTTCAGTCCCCTGTGGTATAGCCCAGAAAACTGCCTCCCATGAAGCCCTACATGGTACAGCCCAGGGGCAGGGTTTCCACACACCCTCCCCCTCAAGGTACAACCCATAGTGAATCCTTCCAACTCCTCCCCTAAGGTACAGCCCAGGGGCAGAGTTCCCCAGCCCCACATGGTACAGACCAGGGCTAGGGCTAGGATTAGGGCTCCCCCCTCATGGTACATGGTATAGCCCAGGGCCAAGATGCACCCAGCTCTGGGGTAGAACAACTGAGGAACAGCTCAACATTACACTCCTCTCCACAGACTTCCCAGATGCACCCAGCTCTGGGGTGGAATGACGGCAACTGCCTGGGGATAGCAGCTGAGGAACAGCCCAGTAAAACGCTCCCCTTCCCGGCCCTACCCACCTCGGGATAGACCCCGATGAGGCTCTCAGCCTTTGTGTAGAACTCCTCCTTGAGTGAGATCACAATTGCCTGGAAGTTGCAGGTCGACTGCTCCTTGATATAGTTGGCCACCTACATGGGGGGAGGTTAGCAAGGGCTGCAGAGCCACCCCCCTCAGCCCACCCAGAGCTCCCCAGCCCCCCTGGAACCTCTCCATCCCCCCTGTGCCTTACCAGGCACCCCTCCCAGGATCCACAAACCACACCAACAGCCCATTGAAGATTAACAGCTATCATCTTCCCCCAGAGCCCAACCCAGAAGATACTCCCCCCTGCTCAACTGACTCCCCCCAAACACAAACCTTTCCAATGTTGGTGTTGTCCAGTGCTGCATCAATCTCATCCAGGACAAAGAAGGGGGCTGGCTTGTAACTGGGGGGGGCGGCGGCAAAAAAGACCACAAGAAAGGCAAAGGGGAGGGAGAGGGGGAGAGAACCCAGGTGTCCAGGCTTTCAGCATCCCTTGTTTCAGTCCCTCAGTCCCCATGCCCTTCCCAGAGAACCCAGGCATCTGGACTCCCAGCCCCACCCTGCTCTCCCAGAGAATCCAGAGCAGGGAGGGCTGGGAGTCTGGATACCTAACCCACTTACCCCGACTTCCCTCCCAGAGAACCCAGCTCTCCCACTACCCATGAGCTAAGAGACCCAGGCATCTGGGCATCACCTGTGGATGGCGAAAAGCAGGGCAAGGGCAGCCACAGTCTTCTCACCCCCCGACAGGTTGTCCATGGGCCGGAACCGCTTGCCAGGGGCCACACAGTTATAGTTGATCCCATCCAGATAGGGCTCCTCAGGGTTCTCAGGCCCTAAGAAGGCCTGAGGGGGCAGATCCAAAGAGGATAATTAAAGGAGGGGGCATCAAGGAGGGGGCACAACCCCCAGAGTGCTAGTGTAGAAAGTGACCTGCCACCTCTTGCCCTTGGACCTCAGTTGGGGCATCTAGTGATTGACAAAAGGGCTGGGCCCCAGCAGGACCCATGTGACAGACAGAGCCTTAGAGAGTGGGAGGTGCTTAGGGGAGAGAGAGGAACTTAAGCCAGCTGAGAGGGTCCCTTCCCCTACTGTGGGAGTGGGTGGGCAAGAGCTGGCTGGGGAGGGGCTTTAGCTGTACAAGGGGTGTATCCTCTCTTGTAGGCAAAACCACAGAAGGGGGTGTGACCTCCCCCTGGTAGGTAGAGCCAAAGCCATACAGGGGGTGGGACATCTTTTAAAGACAGAGTCAGAAATGGAAAAGGGACATGGTCTCCCATGCTCATCAAGGGGACACCTCCCTAGTGCACATGGCCTAACCTGTGTGGGGGTGTGGCCTCCCAGGTAGGCATGTCCTCAGCTTAAGGGGGTGTGGCCTCTCTGAAGGGTGTGGCCTGAGTAATGCTAGGAGTGTGGCCTTGGGAGTGGGTGTGCCCCAAGCCATGGAAAGGGCATGGCCTGAGCCTTGCAAGGGTACATAGGCCAAACTCTACAAGGGGGTGTGGCTTCCCAGGTAGGCATGGTCCCCAGGGAGCTGACCTGGGCAGAGCTGTTGCGGGACAGGGCCTTGTAGATCTCATCAATGTTGGTGGCCACAGACTCGAAACAGGCGTTGAAGCGGTCAAACCGCTCCTTCTTGATCTGCTCAAACGCCTGCTTTGCCTTCTTGGCCCGCTTCCGGGCCGCTTCAAACTCTGGCAGGGGAACAGGTGGTGAATGGGACCCAGGCACCCGGGCCCTGAACACCCACCTATACAGAGAATCCAGGTGTCTGGGCTCTCAGAATCCCCCTGTACAGAGAACCCAGGTGTCCATGATGCCAACCCTCCCCTATAGAGGACCCAGGCATTGGAGCCCCTAGTCCCCGACATCGTATAGAGAACTCAAGCATATTGTCTTCTACTTCCTCCCACATACAGGGAACCTAGATGTCCACATGTCCAGCAGGGCCCCCCCGCCCCAATGCAGAGAAAATCCAGGCTGCCAGCCACCTCCCCATACAGATGGCCTGAATGCCAGGGTTATCCCCCCAACCGCCCTCAAAAGTATCTATGGAGTCTGCGTCCCTCTCCCCAAAGGAACCCCAACTCTCAGCCCCACTCCTCCCAGGGAACCCCAGAATTTGGACAGCACCATCAGAGGTCTCCTGGAATTTGTCGCGCACACTCTCGAGCTTCTCCATGGCCTTCATGTTGGGTGCAGCAATGCGCTGCAGCACACTCTGCTGCTCAGTCAGCCGCTGCTGCAGCTGTGCCATCTCCTGCCGGATCTCATCTT